CTTCTAAATGTTAATGTATTATTAAAATTATAATAACATATCAGATAAAATTGGGTAATTAAACCCAAAGGTTTGTGCGCAAAAATCGTAATGTGTGAGCTTTATTACTATTATTTATTAATATATAATTTTAAACAATCTTTTTATAATTATTAATATAATAATAATATATACTAATTTTAATTTTACGCTTCAATTATAACTTTAAATTTTTAAGTGCAAATTTTTATGCTTATAGTAAAAATATAATTTTAAATAAAGTATATAATACTAATAATTTTGGTGTTCCATTATTTAGCATCAATAACCCAATATAATCTGCACATATTACTGTATAGCAGGTGACAGAACTCTCTCTAGTACTGGGGAATATAATGCAAGCATGTTAATAAAAAAAAAATTTGGGAGAGGGGGGAGTAACCCGCTCTGATTTAACATACATAGTTTTTATACTTTAGTAATCAGAGGTCTCAGCGTCATTGACTTAAGTGAATCTAGAGGATTCTAGTTGGTATTGCCAAGATGGGGGAATTCCATAGAGCTATTCACTTAGTTCAGAGGTCCGTATAAGGGGCCTCCTAATTTAAGATTGGAGTTAGTGTAAATTCAAGGAATTATCTAAACAAAATTGTAATAAAAAATATCCATTTACTACCTCGCATTTGTGTTGACAAAATCGAAGTTGCCCAGCGATTGGATAATATATGTCTTTATAAACAAATTTATATCGTTTTTTTCCCCATTTAGAAATTTCATATCGGTGCATCACGTTTATTTTAAGTTTTGGGTTCTTTTTTAAAAATAATAATACATTTTCACTAAAAATTTTACCAAAACAAAAATTAAAGAAAATATTTAAATTTCTTTGCTTTGTTATAAAGCATAAAATCCTCTTCTTTATCATGCTAATCCCAAAACTAGCTGAGGTCTTTAAAATGTGTCATATCTTTCCATACAGCTAGACTTTGGACCATAGCAACGTTTTTTTGCGGATTTGAGAAATCCAAGTAGTTGAGCCAGTCCTCACCCCAGTTCCATTTTAAGTCTACTCTTTTTTATCTCTTCCGATAAGGGAGCTACGCCCAAAATAACAAATCACGTATAACCAGATCATATGTTAAAAATTTGTACTATTTTTTAAAAAATTAAATATTATAGATTATGGCAATCATTTAATATAAATATAATTTAAAAAATCGTTATGAATCGGAATAGGTCGGTCCACCGTTCGGTTTCTCAGTATTCTTATAATGGTTCAGAAATTTATATTCATTTACTTCGTGATTCAGTACGATACTTCAGAATCTTTATCTCTTGAAGACTCTGAGTCTGATGGTGCGCTTTGTTCTGATCATCATTATTTTTATAATTCATTAATTTCAACTTGTACTTTAATAATTTTATCAATATATTTCAATGAGAGTATCATATTATTATTATTATTATTATAGCGTCTTTGGGGCGAGGGGGCACTAGGATGCTCCATTTTGCTAATTTTAGATAAAAATATTTCCCTTTTCGCTGATTCAGAAACATTCCTTTTTTATAACGATTCAATAACATAATTTTTAAGTGAGCTCTACCCCAAAAAAAGCTAATGACGCTATGCCATTATTTTCAATGACTGTTAATATTTTTAAGGGTGTTACATAGGAGGTTCTACTAACTTTATAATTAAAAAAAGCGAATCTAGACCAGGGTTAATACATAGGGAAATGTATTATAAAGTATAATATTTGCATATTGATACCTTATTATCACCTTAAAAATACAAAGAACCCACTAATTCAGAAAATTTTCTAGTTCAAGAAGGGACCCGGAGTAAACCAACCCTATAGAAATAAGCATCTATAATTTTCTGGAATATTAACCGAATATCAACTTCTTAAAAGTGGAGAACTGAATCTTTATAATTTTACTGAACTGGGCTTAATTCTAATGAATAATTATTTTAAATTAAGAAAATTTCCCTGCGAGTTATTTCTAAATCAAATCAATCAAAATTTTTAAACCCTAATTAATTGTTACAATTTTTTCCTTTATAATTTATTTTTCAATCCAAACGTAAACCGTTATACATAATGGTTCTGGTTCATTTAATTTAATAATATACATTTCTCTTGAACCCTCCCCCACCCCTCTCAAGTGAAAACCGAAAATTATATTTTATTTTTACAACACACTCAACTAATATTTATAAGCTTAATAAAATTCTGGAAGGGGAGTAACCTAGTAGGCAGGGTAAATTTATTTGGGAGGGGGGGGGGTCAAAATATTCTGTCATGTAGACGCTTGATTGTCATGTAAAGTTTTTGAAATTTTCTAGAATTAGAAATTTTCTATCTTCATACATTTTTCTAAAATTAATGTAAAAATGATAGAAATTGGGTTAATATAAATTTAGATGAATTTTAGGATTTATTGTTAGAATTTTATATATGCTTATCTTTGCTTAATTATTTTATTCTTTTTTTTAAATATTATTTCCATTCGAATTTTAGCCCTAGTAAATTATTCTAATAATATTGAATAATTTCATTGATTAATCTTCCCATAAATTTTATATCCATTCCCTATATAAATAATGAAATGATATTAGCGTCCTGCCTTAAAAAACTGTCTTAATGAAAATTATAAATGAGTAATATTTTACCATTTTCAAAATTTATTTATCTAGATTTTTTTGCATTACCAAAAAAGAAGGAATTTTAGACATAAGTTAGATTGAAAATTATAATAAAATTTTTTTGTCTAAAGATATTGAAAGTAACAATCAGTATGCGCATTTTGAGCTGTATGAATTCTTATAAATATCACTGGAAATAGTTAGATAAAGGTTTAATATTAGCTATTATTAAAATTATTTTTTAAATCTAATTAAATACCCCCACCATACTATATCCAATATTTTCCATAGCTCAGAATTTGGATAAAACACTATAAGATTAATTATAATAGTGACAATAGCTAAAAGTGGCTTATATATATAGTGGCGTAGCTACGGGGGTGGTTTTCGGGTTTGGACCCCTCCCAGAGCAAATTTTTTTTTGAGATTATACGTTCAAAAGACATAAAAGTGATTTTATATGAATTATATTTTTCTGGTTTTGATGTTTGTGGAAGGATATTATATTACTATTGAAATTATTCTGGATAGTATTAATAAAGTCATTGAGAATAATCTACTAAATTATAATAACATATTATTGATGCATTTAAAAAATATATTTATTATATATTATAGAAGATATGGTTATGATTTGTAAGAATAACCCGGCCGAACGCCCCCCAGATTTTATATGTATGGACCCCCTCTAAGGAAAATTCCTAGCTACGCCACTATATATATAGGTGTACCGAAAAAAAATCTCTAAATAGTAAAGAGCGATATCTCTACAAGATTCAAGCAGAATCTGTACCGTTAAAATGTTATTTTAAAACATAAACCAATATTGAAATATTATGAAAATGTCACCCGAATTTTAACCTCTAATAAAATGTGAACTGGTTTCAACCTTTTGATAATCTAACTCTTTTTAAAGTTATTAATATAAGGCTGCGATCCACTAACTTTTAACCGATCCGATATTTACAATTCTTACTACAATCGTTTACATTAATCTTTTTTCATTATCTATATCATTTTGTATTTTGTATACTCCAATAATTATTTCATTTAAAATATGGGTTTATTGGCTGAATGAAGTGTTAAATTCGATTTTACAGATTTTTAAAATAGGTAAATCAAGATTTTAGCCAAAATACTATTAGCTGTCTTGAAATTTGCTAAATTAATGTCCAAACCTATCTACCACCATTTGTGGAAAAAATCTTCAAGTTTGGCCAATTTATTTTGGCTAGAAACTTGAGTTTGACGTTTTTAAAAATTGGCTAAATCAAGCTATCTAACAATAACAGCTGATTGTGACTTGTTAGATATTTATGGCTACGTCTTTTAAAATATTTATTTTTTTTAAACATGATAAATTGAATTTGGTTTCTGTAACAGAATACCTTCAAGGCATAATAAAAAAATAAAATGATATATTGTATTCAATTAAATTAATGTATTAAAAATAAATAAATGTATTTTATATAAAAGGAGAGAAATAACATAACTACGATATCTTTTATTAATTATTAAATTATTCAATACACCAAAAAATAGAAATATCCGATCAGATTGGTTTTTTGAAAACATCGACCTAATTTGATATTTTTATAAATGCTAAATATGGGACGTAATCTGCTATTTATTATAGTGATAGCTATATTTATAATTAATTTAAAAAATATTAGTATTTGATGGTGGATTCTACCTAAGAGCTATAGAATTTATTCTTTAATCTTATAGAAATAAATAGATTTAAAAAAATTGGCCAGGTTCAGACTGGGAAAATTTTCTTAAAAAAATTCAGACCTTGCCAGGCTTCAAAAATTAGGCCGAATGCCCTCATTTAAGCCAATATTCTGGTTAGCATGGTCCCTATTTTTAGAGTGAAACGAGTGCAATATATTTTTATGGGTTGCAAATTTTTCAAGTGAATACTCAGGTTATTAATTTCAACGCCCTCATCCCCATATGAAATATTGGTTACACTGAATTTATAGTAAACACGTTATGTTCAAGCGTTGCGTTATTTAACACTATCGAAATCACAATGGTAATTTAAAAGATAATGTTAAATAGAGATAATTATTTTGCATATTATTTCAGAAATATCTATACCTTTTACAGAATTCCCTATTATTTTTATAATCATATGACATATTTTTTATCATTGCATTGCAACATATTTTTCAAATTTTATCATAGCGTTATGATGATAACGCTATGATTTTGTGAATAACGCTGTATTAAATAATGTACTACTTAAATATAACGAGTTTACTACGCCCTTAAAGTCAAATGCATAACTAATTGAAATAATATAGAATAGTATTTACACTATATTTATTTTGATAAAATTAATAAATTATATATATATATTTATCCAATATTTTCGTATAAATATATTGATTTTTAAATGAGAATATTTCATATTCGGCAAAATAAAATAGGCAAATCTTACAATATCTAGATAATAAATATAAATGAATACAATACAAATTTTAAAAAATAAAATCATTACAAATGCACTTCCACGTTTTTCTAATGGCAAATATCAAAAACCACAAGCCGATCTAAAAGGTTTATACATAAATTTCTTTAACAGTCTAAAAGAGATATCGTTGTCATAATTCACATGTAAAGGTTATATCTTTATACTATTGGCGTCTCGGTATTGGTAGGAGGCATCATTTGTTCGAATATTATTTTTGAGCATGTAGTGAATGAATGATGTGCGATTCGTTAAAATTAATTACATTATTTATATTTTAAACAAGATTAATAGATTTTGTCTATGCTTGAAGTCCTGTATTGTGTAAGCGTTCCATAAAATGTAAGCAATATTTTATATAGTATGTAAAAAAATTTGTAGTTAATAATAATTCATTGATGTAAATTATGTTCTTTTAAGATATAATTTTAAGTAGGCTTAATATATTTTCTTTCGAAGTCAAATTTTAAAGATTTAATAAAATATCTTCTAAACCACACAAATCTAATTTTTAAGGTGGCTATTGTTTAATTTGCAATCAAAAGTATCTTCAGCTTCGTCCAAGGGGGTTAACTTAAAATTCAGGGATTTGATAAACTCTTTACAACTCTCGTTATCCGTGAAGGCCAACTCATTAACCAAAAATGATATAGATAATTTTGATTGTTTATATCTGTGATTAATAATTATATAAATGCATGTTATAATATATGAAATAAATATATATATTTGGAAATCTAAAAAGAGAACATGATTTTTTTTAAATAAAGGAAGGTCTTTTACTTCTCCATCAATACCACGTGATCCCAATTCAATAAAAAGCATACATTGAAAAAATTAAATTAAATATAAGTACCTGAAGCCGAAGGATAAATTATTAGTATTTCATGAATTAAAATATATAAATGTGATTACCTTATTAGAAATGATTTTAACCAAAAATATAATATGATAAAAGATTTCAATTCCTAACAGATAATTATTTATAAAATTTAATAACAAATAAGATTTGAAAATTAAAAATAAAATTTATATTACGCTCTGATCATTTTTTCAAGTGCCAATTTACGTTCACGGATGATAAACCAATCTATTAAATAGGCCGACATTCTCAGCGCCTTTTTGGAGTACAACCTAAAAAACCTGTGATAATTACCTATGCTCCAAGCAGAATGCAAATGTATAACAAATTGAATCATAGGATTTTGGAGGATATCGGGAGATATAGTGCCCAGGGTTATGTTGAGATCTGAGTGTTACATTTTATATTTGAATATTAAAATTAGGTAAGGCATTTTTTTAAATATAACGAGTGGCTCAAAAAACGTCACATTTTGAAATCTCTATACTCTAAAATATGTCACTTGTTTTTTTAATGAATTTTGATAAAGAATATTAAATATTCTAAATATTTTGTGTTAACATATAATTCGTTTTTGAAAAAAAAATTGATGGTCTTGAATTTCCTGTTAAATTTTAACATTTTTTATCTTAATTTTCTAAAGTCAGACATGATTGAATTCTATAAAAAAATTGAGGATATTTATAACGCGTTTTTAGTTATATTTTATGGTCGACATTTATCTGTGACACCTGGTAAATGGTTTCAGAAAGTACTATCATGTTATTCATATTAATTATGTAAAAAGTTAAACAACTGAAAGAAAATCAAACCTATAGCACTATTTGTAAACATGTGATATATTATCTGGTAGGCAATAAATTCTTCTTTAAATTTGGACGTTTGTCCTTCTTCATATAATGCCTGTAGTTGGGTTTGGCATTGATTAAATTCTTCCCTATCGGCCTATATAAATAAAATTAAGAATTAACATTATTATAAATAAAAGTAACCATTTCTAATGCTATACGGCAATGAGTTTCATAAACTGCTACTGATAAAGAATCTCTTATGTTTTGCACCTATAAAATAAAATATGAGATTGTAAAATAAAATGAAATAAATTAAAACCATCAAATCCTGTCTTATAGATTTGAGCTGTTCACAGGCGTAATGATAATTATGTTCAGAACACCATTTGCTTTGAACTAATAACAGGGATTTGTAAAGGATACTGGCAGGTCTAATAATTTCTGGATCTGGGGCCTATAAGAATAATTATATATTTTTGTTCGTTTTTATAGGAATATTACGGATGTTAATCTAAGGTAAGGTCTTTCCAAATTTGTCGATGTACCAACCACGTGAATTTTGGTCCAATCAATAGAAATATTATCTGTAGTATCAAAACTATTCTCATTGAATTGTATCTAAGAAAAATATATAAATTAAATATTCTCTACAAAAAGTATTATAAATGGGTTTATAAAATAATGTTCAAAGCAAAATATTTATAATTGTTGAATTCAAAACTAATTTTTTTAAAAAATACCACACCAAAATGTAGTTCAAACATTACAAATGTATCGGAGTAAATTTACTCCCATTACTCCGAATCTGGCGATGAAAGCGTCGTTATTAATAGCGTCGAACTTGTTAACACGTCTACCCATCGATTCTTGTTCCTCGTTTAATTTAAAACGATTTTGCCTCTTTTCCAGTAGTTCTTTATTGGAAACGACGTCACCTTGATTCACTTTGCTAATATGAGGTATGAGAATATATTTCAGAAAGCGTAAAAAAATTATTAAAATGAATTATCATATTAGAGGCCTAAAATAATTTTATTTTAAAAAATAGCAACAATTATTTTAGCTCCTTAAAATATGTTAAATATCATCAAGACACATTATTTAAAAATTCAAGTTTTGAAAGGCTAGCCGTTTTAGTCCGTTTAGAGAAGGACTTTCTTAACTAAGTTAAACATGGTCGCATTCTGTTATATTAAATAAACAATTATAACTTATAATAAATTTTAATATCAACTTACAATGCCTCTTGCATAGCAAAACCATTAGCTACCTTCTTGTTTCTGCCTTTCCTATTTTTTTTCGATTGAATACCAGTGGTAATAATCTCAGGTTCAATAAATTGGGTTTTGTTATCATTGGAAAAATTATTAGATACCATTCTATTTTGTCCTATTAAAAAATTTACAATATATACTACTCAATGACATACAATAATTATACTACATAGACTGACGATATATTTGATTAAATGTTTATCTATATAAATCAACTGGTGACACATTATTTTGGGTTCCAGTATAAATTTGCATTAAAAAATCAGATTTTACTTTATGCATAAATTTTCTATATATAAGAAACCAAATGCATCTAGACTTAAAAATGGATTTTAATGAATTATCAGTCTAAGTATCATTAAGGTTATAAAAAAAATTTGATTTTTGATAGATTTTTTTAATAAATCATAAAATATTATGAAACAATGAGTATTTAAAATATAGCAATGACATTCGAATTTAAAACCTTTTCTATTTGATTAAATAAGAGTATAAGAAAATTCATATCATACCATTAATTTCGTTATTGTCATTTTGTATGCGGATCTTGAACTGTCCATTGTAACTGGATTTATCGTTTTCTACATTTTGACTGAAATACCGTCCCTTCTGAACGGAATTATATTTATTGAATGAATCGTCAAGATCATTTTGACGTCGACGACGATTGTTGCCAAAGCCTCTTCCTAGCATATTATTTTAGGAAAAATAAATTTGCTGCATTTTAAAACTCTGTGTATTAATAAAATTAAGTATTTATAAAATTTTTTCTCTTTTAAACAATAAAACTGGATTACATCTTGCTATGAAAAAATTATTTTAAAAAACCTTTTGAGATACGGCTCTCTCCACTTGTCTTGTTAATTTTCATTCGCTTGGATCTCACACTAGAGCTTCTTCTTCTTCCCTTCCGATTTTTTCCTTCAACAGATTTGGCACTAGCATTAGAGGAGGAATATGAAGGGGAACGAGAATCTGCGTCGAATGATCGTGATCTGGAACGAGACGATTTTGAGCCTGAAATAATTTAGTTAAATTTATATAAAAAATTTCAAATGAAGGTTTCAATTATGATAGTGAAATTTAGGCAGACAGCTTCAATTAAATTTATAAAACCATCCTAATTAATTAAAAACTGTCTTCTATGAGGAATAGACTTTAGTGAGAGTAGTATTCATGAGTTATTCCATCATAAATCGATAAAAGTCAGAGAAGGTTGTGTGTCAAACAAGATATATAATCTTCAGAACGATGGATCATTCTTTCAAAAGACGTAAAAGATGAAAATAGTTTTAAAGAGCCATCATTTCAGAAATTAGCCATATTTGTTTATAATGAATAATTATATGTGTGAATGCTATTTAAAATATTAAAAAAAACATTAAGACTTTTCCTATTCTTACTTATATATTTTTACAATGGTTGTCATTAAATTATTTACTAAAAAATATTTAAATTCGTTGTCATTTTATACCCATTATAAAATTTAAAAAAATAAATTGCTCCAATTTATTTAACTTTATACAATACATCATAATGTGTAAGAGCTAGTAGAATTTTGCCAAAATCCTAAGTCATATTTAACTTATGTACATTAAAAAATTCATCAAAATCACAAGGGGTCAGCTAAAAGGTGATTGATTTGGCATGGAATGGGCTTACTAATTTCCAATTTTATTGACGATTTTTTGTACATAAAATAATATATAAAGAATTAGTGTACCAGAAGTTTTGGACTGACTCCTAGAATGCGAGGATGGTGAACCAGATGACACGGTAGAAGTGGTCGATCCTGCTCGTCTTTCGCCTGTTGTCTTGAAAACTGGGGTGGTGGAGAGAAATGGCTTAGGGCCATCCCTTCTCCCTTTCCCTGCTTTAATACCCCGGATTCCCTTACTCCTGTCATGACTCGCTCCACCTTTGCGACGTCCTCCTCCGCCCCGTCGCCTGTCATCGTAAAAGTAGTAGTCATCACGTTGCCTCCGTTCTTCAGCATAATGGGAAGGAAGCCTTTCACCCTTGGGGGGCAAATAAAGTGCCTTTTTAACGGTAAGAGTTGCCCCTATTTGAGCATCATCGGCAAATGCAGGGTTAGAAGGCCCAAGAAGGTTAGGAGAGTCAGAGGTGCGAGGATTGCTTCATTAAATATTTTACATGAAAAAAATGTTAATCTCTTCTGCATCTATGCGCCACAAAAAGAGATTATTTGATTATGTCAAAAACCAGCTTTCTGGTGGTTGTAGCTATGGCCATGTAACAATCGGAAAAAAGTAGTATATTTTTAAAAATTATTTAGTAGCAGTTATATTTTATTACATTCAATTTATTTACCATTTTAACAAGCAAACATGTTTGTCTGAATTCAATATTCTTTGGACTTATTTTTATTGATATTTAAACACAAATGCTAACATAGAATGATTAAAATTAGGGGTGTACCGATATCAATCTATAATTTAACGATATAACTAAGTCAATTTAAATATATTATAATGATCAGTTATCGTTTATCTATAAAATAGTTTCATTGATAAATCACTTATTTATATAATAACATTAATCAATTTAGATAATAAGTAAACACATATATTATGAAATTTTAATAAATTTTTTAAAAATTAAGACGCTGTTTTATGATAGGGAAATTTTAAATTGGCCGATAACCGATATTTAAAAAAATGAAATATCGGCCCGATCCGATTCTATAAAAAATATTCGTACATCCCTAATTAATATATTTACAATTGTTTTAAAATCCACAATTAAATATAAATTTGTCATTGCAAACGTATCTTTCATTTGCATGGAAATATTTTTAACCCTTAATATTAAAAACAAACACCCTTTACAGAGAGTTTTCTATAAATTTTTTCATCATATCCAATCAAATGTTAGCTAAAAAAATCAGTTACTCTAACCTAATAAAATACATATCAATAAAATTGGGTTTATAATTACCTTTAGAGAATTTTGCATTCTACAATTATTTATGAAAGAGAGTAACAAAATATTTTTGCTGAACATTAGATTCATTCTAATCGATTTTGGCAGAGTCCCTTGTAGCTTTTACATGTTTAAAAAATGTTTCAATTTTTCTCAAACACTTTTACATGACAAGCATGTCCTCTGATAGGTGCATCAATGTACTGATACTTTTAGAAAAATCTAACATTTAATAAAGCTTATTTATTAAAAAGATAATTTTTTAATATTCATAATCTATCTTGAAATATTCTTTTCCTAAAAAGTTATATTATTAAATATAAAAAAAAGATCTGTACTGAAACATGATATAATAATCACTGATCCAATATTCATATTCAACCAATAATATACCTATGCCAATATTTAGATTGATTTATATTTACCATATCTTTGAATCAATGTCACATAACTACTTAGGCACTTATTAACCCATAAATGGTCAATGTACCATATCTGGAACAGTTGTTATTTATTGATTTTTCACATATTGTACTTTAACATAAAAAAAAATATTTATTTATGAATGTGTGAGATGCCATTGAAGTTCGACAATTTTGTACTATATTACAGTGAAACGTGTGTTAAAAATCAACTAACAATAAAAAGGGGTAAATATAATAAAGTTTTATTTTAATTTAATACATATTGAAATTAAATATGGACAAGTAATTACAAGATTAATCGTTGAAAAGAAATGTGTTGGAAATTTAATTAAAAATAAAAAATGGGTTATACATTTATTAATTTTTTCTTAAATAAGTAAAAAAATATTTATTAATTTTTTAAATTTTTCCTAAAAATAATAAAAAAAATGTTTAATATAGAATCTTTATTATCCAATAGTAATATTAATTTTTCCAATTTAAATGAAAACTCCCAATCTTCGTCGAGAATTCAAAGACCAAAAAGAATACACAAATATTGGAATAAAGAAAAAATAGGTATAGTTACTAAAATGTTATCAATGCCTGAAAGAGAACAGATGAAAATTAAAGACATTGCAAAATACGTCGAAATGTCTACAGCATCAGTTCATAAATTTAGACGGGACACATTCCCAGACATAAATGGAAATCTTTAAAAAAATATAATATTCAAAAAAGAGGAAGTAAAAAAAAAGATACTTCCATAATTGAAAGAAGCATTATAAATTTATTGATGGATAATAATAGTCTTACTATCCAGGAGATAATAGAAAATTTACCTCCTGGTAGTCCAAAAACGAAAACAACAATTAGCAAATATATAAAAAATATAGGTTGGTCGAAAAAAAGAGCTGGCAAGGAGCCTGATAGAAGAAATACTCCTGGGGCAATCAATATTCGTCAAGTCTATTGTGTAAAGATCTAAAATATCTGAAGAGAAAAATTATATTTCTTAGATGAAACTGGGATAAACTTGCACGTTGTACCAATCTACGCCTGGGCACCATACAATGTCCGTCTATAATAAAAATTCCACCCTCTAAGGGTAAAAATGTAAACATACTTTGTACAATTGGAATTGGAGGGGTATCCATTATAAAATAATCGAAGGAGCTTATAATGGGTTGTTATTCCGTGATTTTGTGACAGCTTATCAGTGTCTTACCACCAGATGGCATCTATCCATAGAAGCCATCTTATCGATGCATATAAAGATAGGATTGTATCTACCACCATATTAACCTCAGCTAAATTCCATCGAAAATTTTTTTGGAGTCTTGAAAAATAAATATCGAGCAATAAACCCCCGCCCTAATTCAAGAGATGAAATTATTGGGAATATTATTCAGCTATTACATGGATTTATTCCTTATGATTTTACTAACTTTTACAATCACATGCAAAGCTATTTGGATATCGCGGGCCATTGATTAATTAGGCAATCCTTTTAATCGATTTGTATTAATAATTTTAATAGTAACTCTTTTAATTTCGAAAAAAGTACAATCATCAAATTTGTGTAACAATAGAATATTTTGATAAATTATAATTATATTTTTTATGTATTAATTATTTTATCGAAGTTAATAAATTTATAGTATTATCATATTTTTATCGAAATAAATGGGTGCAAAATTTAAAAATAGATTACATTTAAGAAATTCTAAAATATTTTCAAATATAAAAAAGACTTTTTACAAAAAATGATTGAATTTTTGATTTACTTGAACATTCTCAAAGAAGATCAAAAAAAAAATTGTAAAAAATTCCATTTTTTATCACAAATTATATATTTACAAACATAATATCTTTTTATTAATTTAAAAACGATTAATCTTGTTAATTAATTGCTTGTCCATATTTAATTTCAATATGGATTAAATTAAAATTTTATTATATTTATTGTTAGTTGATTTTTAACACTCGTTTAAATGTAAAACACCATATGTTCTAGGCTCCCTCGTTGATAGAGTATTTATTTTATAAAATACAATTGGCATCTAATTAATTTAGGACCATCATTCTATCTTCTCGGATTTATAATCATGAGTTTTTAATGTACCATTTATGCAACGTTGACCATATAAGGGTTTTAAAAAAATCAATTTTTCTAAAAAATTTTATATAAAAAAAATTTGGCTTGTTATTCTCATTATATTTCTTCGTATAAATTGAATATAAAAATTATTTGTAAAATATTTTTTTCATCTTATTTTAACCAAATTTTTAAATAATATTAAAATATTATTATGAAAAAACAATTTCTAACGGTTGATGAAGCCTATCCATGCTTTTTGATGAAGGACCTAGTGATGTAACAGATGTTGTAATTATACCTCCTAATGCTGCTTTAGTTGGTGATAAAATTTTGATGAAAACGATCTAACCGACAGACCTAATCTTCCACTAGATAATGCAGAAGAGATCGAAATCCATAATCCAGCAAACCAGAATCCTCAAAATCAAGAAAGCAAATTGAATTTACGAAATAATTTAAAATGGAAAAAGTTGACCAGATATAAAAATTGAGATCTACAGATAATGATAAAGAATTTTTATCGAATCTTCAATTTGATTGGATTCGAAAAACTCCAATAAAAATATTTGAATTATTTTTTGATCAAGAAATGTATACATTGCTTGTGGATTAATCAAATATTTATTCACAAAACAATAGACCAAATTTTATTACAACCGAGTCAGAGATGAATTTATAGGAATTCTTTTGCTGACTGGATATCATTCTTTACCCCAAGAAAGAATATATTGGTAGAATGACAATGATATTACTATACCAATCGTTAGAAATTCAATGACAGCATACATTGGCGATATCAAAAGGAATCTACATTTATCTAATAACTCAACTCTTGATGAAGAGAATAGTTTCAACAATTCGATATATTTTTGAACAATTTATGCATAGAATGATACCATATAGAGGAAGACATTCCTGTAAAAATGTTTATCATAAATAAACCCATTCAATTAGGATATAAATTATGGACCCTTGCTTCCTCCGATGGATATATATTTGCATTTAATATATATACATCAAGGTAAAAATAAAGTGGAATGGCTTAGAATAATGGATTAGGAGGGTTGTTACAATTTTACTCAAAGCTGTCCAAGTACTTTCTTTGCATTCTATTTACTTCGATAACTTTTTTACATCTCTAAGCTTTTATTGCATCTAAGCATCTTTTGATTTTTCGCAATTGGGACTATAAGAGAAAATTCTCCCCTAGAAACAATTAAGGATATGACAAAAAAAAGAGAGGGGCTATTACGACAATCAATTTAAAAAGACATGAAATATTTGTAGTTCGATTGAATGATGATAGTTCAAGAGGTAACAGTTTCATCAATATGTAAAACTCTAGCCCTCTATGCAAAGTTATCAAGATTCTTTTGAAAGATTTTCTCAAAAATAAAATTACACAACCGAATCTTATAACTTTATATGATTCCCAAGTAACCTAGTGTCAACATATAGAATAAATTCAAGAGGTAAAAAATGGTGGAGGCCTATTTTTAGAAATTTTATTGACGTAGCAGTGTTAAATTTGTGGAGGTTATGGATTGGAGTGCTGAATCCTGATAAAAATCATTAATAACTTTTCGGCGGTAAATAACTACGAAACTTTTGAAACCTCCCTTGGTAAACAAAAAGATGAGTAGTACAGGTAGAGATTCTAGTCACCTCACTAAGTGATACACCTGAAAATTTTTAGCGTCGTTATGTAAGAACTATTATTGATAAAAAAGGCGACGTTGTAAGTTTTGCCAAAGTCAGACAAGATATATATGTAACATGTGTCCATATGCCAATACATATTGATTATTTTAAAAAATTTCATAAAATATTAAAATTACAAAATTGTATTTAATAAATGTAAAATATATCAATAAATTTTAATTTATTTATCGAATTTGATTTTACCAATAATATAATTGTAACCTATTTTTATATTCCTAATGGTCAAAGTTGCAGACATGCAACGGTTCAGATTTCCAATTTTGGATGCTTTTTTGTGCCGATTTCTTAGCTATAAAAAGGCTGGAAAAAGTGTGATGATTAATGGGTTAACAGAAGAAATAAATGAAAATAAGCCCATGGAAATTGAATCTCAATTTGAAATCGGAGAAATCGAGTCATTTAATAACACTTATAGAAGATATGATGTTGCCAAATCAATTGACGATATATTCTTTTAATATTAATGTTCAGACTTTTCCAAGCTGCTAAAATCTCTTGTTTATTAGAGTCTAAGAAATCGTAAAAAAATCCGCATCCACCCAAAAAAACATCCTAAATAAGAAAACTGTACTGTTGCATATCTGAAAAGTTAACCATTAGGGGTATAAATATAAGATATGATATTTTTGTTATAAGTAATTATTGTTAAATAAGGTCTACAATAATTTTCAGTCATTTCAATTAGTAAGGAAAATTGGCGAGGGTTGCCTATACTTATACCCCTTTTTTCGTTTACTAGAAAGTTATTAAAAGTGACAGTTATTTCCCAAAGAAATGTAATGATTTTTTCATCAGGATTAACTCGATTTGATAATTCCACATATTTACCACTGCTACCATTAATGCCAAAAAGTCTAATTTTTGTCGATTTTTATAAACTATTTTAAAATAATACATCATGTAAGCACCGAGATTTGGTCAGAGGTTCAAACCTTTCTCCCATCTATGAGCAAATCTCCAGGCTTATATAATATTATTTTGGCTAAAATCTTAAACCATTTTTAAAAATAGACCTAATCGGGGTTTTTAACAATACTAAATCTGCTAACAAAAAATTGCTAAAAATTTGCCACCATATTTTTTACGTTGAATTAGAGCCCTGTAGGGTAATTTTTCATGGCTCAAGCTAGAATTTAAAAAAATTTGGTATCCGAGCCCAACCCAAGCATAAAATTTTTCTTCCAGCCTGCTATAAAATAGGAATTTTTCCTGTTTATTAAATATAAGTTGAAATTTCTTCCATACTTCATATTTTTCATTTGTATCTTTTTTCCTCTAAATTCTTGAGTTCTTATCTTTTCAGAAATTATTTTTAATTTAGATCCATACTATAAACAATTTAAATATAAAAATCTGAGGCTATTTATTGGATAGATCTTAGATAAAACAAAAATTATCATGAAAATATTTTATAACTGTTATATAACAGATTAATATTTTATATTATATATTAGCAAAATGTGGAATATAATTAGAGCTGTGCCAATATTAAATATCAGATCGGCACCAATATTTAGCGTTTTCCAAAGATATTGGATCGTGTCGATACCTGTTAAAAACCGATCTGATCTTTTTAGTTTTCTTTTCTTTTTTTTGTTATTTTATATTATGTATATTTATTTTACATTATTAAAAATTTTTTTATCTATTATAATATAATACTTTTTTAATTATAAAAATAAAAAAATTAAATTAAATGCATAATTCGATTTTTTACATAAAAAATATTGATCTTTTAATTACATATGGTTCAAAGGGGGGTGGTGAAAAACCAATATAAATATCGGTAACAGATCGGTTTACAACCAATATCAGAAAATGTCAGATCGGATTGGTGAAAAATATGTGGATCAGCACAGCCCTAAATATAATATATATTTTCTATATGTTGGCACTATATCCATACAGATCAATACCTTAATAGAGGAATTATATTTATTTTTAAGATAAGATTATTTTGATAAAATCTTTCAAGAAAATCTTGTTTTTCACGTTTTAATTGTTTATAGGGGAGAATTTTTCAGCACAATAAGTTGAACACAATATTTCTCAAAAGCATTTTCTCCAACTTATATTTTGGAATACACGTTGTGCTATAATATATCCTTTGCATAAAATTAACTAGCTGATAGCCCGTCAAGAATTACGGGAATGAGAATTTTCTTATTATTTCAATGATGGATGATTTCTCTTATAGTCCCAGTTGTGAAAACCCTATGTTTGAAGTAAAATATTTAGAGATGTAAAAAAATTGAAGTAATGCAAAGGGGGTACTTTGGCAAGTATGTATTGTATTGTAACAACTGTGTTCAATGCCATTGGGATTTTACAAACTAAATATCCATCTGAGGTAACAAGGGTCCATGACTTATACCCTAAATCGAATGTATTTGCCAGAGTTGTTAAAGGATCTAGATACAAGTATCTAGATATAAAAATGTGGTATCTGTATCTAGATAGATTTTTGATTAAATAATATGTATCTATATATTATTTTAGACGTTGTATCTGTATCTAGATCCATTTAAAAGGTATCTTTTAACAACTCTGGTATTTAGCTTTGATATAAACATTTTACAGGAGTTTCTTCCTTGATATGGTAATATTTGCTCATCTATTTGTAAATTGTAATAAAATATATCGAATTGTCAAAACCTTTTATTTTAAATTTAACGGATTTTATATTATAAAGATTATCATCTTTATTAACTGTTAAGTTATTAAATAAATGAGATTTCTTTAAATATCGTAAAGCGCCTGTTATGTCATTGAATTCCTAATGATTAATATCATTGTGATTTGACCAAAACATTCTTTCTTGTAGTAAAGAATGATATCAGACAACGAAAGAGTTTCTAAAAATTTTCATCTCTGACTCAGTTGTAATAAACTTGGTCTATTATTTTTAAATTTTGATTGATTTACAAGCAGTGAATATATTTCTTGATCAAAAAATTCTATTTGAGTTTTTTCAATCAAATTAAAGATTAAACAATATTACTTTTTCATTATCTGTATGCCTCAATTTATATATTGCATCAGGTTTTCTCCTTTTTAATTTGTAAATATTGAAGATTCTAAGAAAATATCAATGTTGGCTAGATTATAGATTACAATCACTCCTGCAGTATCTAGTGGGAGATTAGATGTGATACATCAAAATCATTTTTATCACTACCAGCCTTAGAATTGTAATTGGGTAAAATTGAGCTGCTATCTTTTTTATAAAACCCTGAAGCCAAAGTGATAGTATTAGACAAAAAACTTGGTTCCACTAGTTAAAAAATAGTAATTACCCAACTATACTTAGGAGGCATGACCCTGACATCAGTTTTATCACAATGGCCATCATCAAAAAGCATGGATAGGGCTTCATCAACTGTTAAAAGTGGTTTTGTCATGATAATATTATTTAAAAATATAATTAAAATAAAATGACAAAAAAATTTATACCAATTTGTAAAAATTTTTTAAATAAATAACTATAAAATTATGAATGTCTGGTTTTGGTTCAGGTTTATATACACAGGCTAAGCCAGACCTAAAATAAAAAACGAGCTCACATTGTGATCCAGATGAATTTTTTTAAAATATTTTTGTCTTTCCCTAATTTTCATATTTTTTGTATATGATATCAAATTAAATATGGATAATCTAATAAATAATATAAATATTTAATTTAAAAGTAAAATTCTTTTGACAAGCTTTTGTTTTCATAGTATATTATAAAATAAAAATGAACTAAAAAAAATCACCAAAAATAACTCCTGTAAATAAAATAGTCCAATCCAATTCGAGTTTAAGATCAGTAGAACTAGACTGTTAACTTTAACTAGATGTTTTGGACAAAGCCTTAAGTAAAATAAGATAAAAAAAATTACTATCACAAATTACATTTTATTTTAAAATGGAAATATGAAATAATAAAATAATTATATCAATATTTGAAATTGCATGATATATTAAATTATGTTTGATTTATAATAATAGAAATAACTTTAGCTTTGAAGGCAGGGGCTCTTGATTCCAATCTTTTGTCCAAACTGATCCATCCTGAAATGCTTTAGCAATAATATCTTTAACTCTACTAAGCTCTTCCTGACCTTTCAATGTAGTTAAGCATTTGTTGACATATTCTCTTAATGAAGGAGGATAATTATTTGAATCATTTTTGGTGTCTTTTGTACTAAAATGAATTTTTTAGATTTTGACTAATAATTTTATATATACGTTTGTAAATTAGAAGCCATGTTTATGTTGGATGATGTATTAATTGATTCTTCATTAAGGGTAGTCTTTTCTTTTTCTTCATCTATAAAATTTTTATTTAGAGAGCTATTATATTTTACTGATGCCTTAAGCATCTTAACATTAAATTTTTTTATATTTGATCCTGAATCCTTGTTTTGTAAGTCATCTTGATCTAATTTAAAGGAATTAACATATAAATTGATTTAATATTTACTAAGATCATTCAGAGGTGTTTCAGGCAAAAACGTTGCAGCTAAAAAAATAAAAATGTATTATTTCTAAATGTATATATATTTACCTTTTCCTTTAGAATCATTATATAATGATGGTGGCTTGACCTCATTCCTTTTAATGCCACCATAAGGGTACATCATGTTTGTGTAAGGATAATAAGGATTCTAATAATGAATTATTACTTTTATAAAATATATATAATTACATAAACAGAAGCCCCTCCATATGGATTAACTCCTGGGTACCTAACATTAAAGGTAATCATATTATTATAACAAAAACATTTTACATTATTCCTGGAATGCCATAAGGTGATTGATAGATATTTAATGGGAAGGAACTGGCTGACTTCCCATCTGTATAATTGTAGGTTGGTTGAACAGGTTTGGGTTTGGTCTTTATAGCTTCTAAAGCTTTTTGTGCAGCTTCCCATTCTGGTCTGTTGTCCATTGGCAAATATTAAAATTTAGCAAAAACTATTTAATTGGGGAAACTCGGATTCTGAAATTAAAGTTCTAAAATATATTTATTATGTGATTTATTATATCAAATATTTATTATGTGATTTATTATATCAAATATTTATTATGTGATTTATTATATCAAATATTTATTATGTGATTTATTATATCAAATATTTATCAATAAGAAGATTATTGATAAAGTTAACTATGGCTAAATTTGATGAAAGATTAATGCACTATATAAATTCACAGGACTATAATGATTTTTAGAAATTGAATATATATTTGGCAAATTTTTTAGCAATCAATTGATACTAATTAATATCTTTTGCCGTGATGCCATATTGTACAACAATAATTGTAATTTGCTAAATAATAATAGTTGTAATAGTAATAGTATACACCTCTTTTTGCTAAAAATATATCTTAACCCTACTATCCAAATTTAAAGCTGGCCAGTACTGTGAATTCTTATATCAAAGATACAAGATCTTTTTGTATCTTGTACTCAGTATCTTTTTGACATATTTAATAAGATACTAGTATCTGTATCTAAGATCCTTTATTCTGAAAAGAATATTGTATCTTTTTAATCTTCTTGGCAAAAGATACAGATTCTTTTTAATATTCATGTTTAAATTTTTATATAATACAGTATATATCTTATTTTCTTCGGGAATCTTTTATTAATTTTCTTATTTATTTTCTACCAATTTTGAATATATTGACAACCAAAATTAGTTGAAAAATTTCCAACTCATATTAAGATAGATAGATAAAAAATATAAACACCAAAACGAAATAAGTAAAAATATAATTTATGCAACTCGATTTTTATGTAATATATTTAATTTGTAGGATTATGATTAACGTTCATAAGAAGAAGGTAGCGAAATATAAATTATTAAAATAAGTTCCCTTGAATAAATCCCAATTTTAAAATTTTAGTTGGAAATTTTTTTAAAATAAAAGTTATAAAAAATATAAGATAATGCACAGGATAAATGTAAAACCAGTATAAAAAATGATAAAGTTCAACAGAAATTTTGTCAAACATATTTAAGTATATCATTTATATGTAGTTAAAAGGGGCATAGGTTATCTTAAGAATTCAGGTTTACAATATTGTCTACCATTTTAAAAGCTGCCCAAGATGGTATTGACAATAAATTTTAGAAAATATTTTCCTATGATATGAATATGAGGCCTTTTTTGCATTTAAGATTTTGAGATAGAGTTGGATGATAAAAGAATACTTTCGAAATATAATGTAATGCCAGAGTATATAATCAAGCTCAAACTATAACACCAATAGATTTAACATCTAATAAAGAAAGATGATTATTTTTCTTTTTGCCGAGTTTAATATTACAAATAACATTGAATTGTAGGTTTTAAATTCTATATAGAAAGTCGAAATACATTACAAAATTCTTCCATTAAGTTAATGTTTTTAAAATATAATATTGTAATACCTTTCAGCTCCTATTGAAAGGCTATTTATTGTCACAATGTTAAGTACGCCAAAACGGCGAAGGTCTAAGGATAAATTATTTTAAAAATTTGATTATCTAATAAAATAATGAATTTATTTTAAATACCCTTTACAAATTAATATTTCAACTCCAATTAAAAATATTAGTCTATCTTCCCTATCTATACCAAGAATGGGCTAATACTAATATTAAAATGCCTGATTATTATAATTAATTCATCATTATTACGTTGTGACCGTCCAAAGTTTTTCTTATTCGATTGTTAAAATTTTACACCACAATGATTTCGAGTAATCCCAACTTTATTTCAATAAATTTATAATCAAACCAAAAAAAAACAAACAATAATTTTATAATAATCAATAACGGAAAAAATTAACTGTTAAAAAAAAATTAATTATAAAAAAATGAATTAAAAAAAAATGAATTCAAAAAAGAAATGAATTCAAAAAAGAAATGAATTCAAAAAAGAAATGAATTCAAAAAAGAAATGAATTGATTATTTACAATTTTCGCTTCCCTTTTATAGGGAAGCAATAATCATCACAAATAAATAATTAAACCCCATCATCATAATGACTTTACAATAATTAACTTTTATAAATCTAAAAATAAAATGTTAACGCGATTAAACTAAAACATAAAATTATAAAAATAACAATGACTCACCAATTTAACTAAAACATAAAATTATAAAAATAAAAATGACTCATCAAACGCAATGCATACAGACTTTACCAAAAATCAAATTTTACAAATCAAAGTCTCCCAATTATGACAATCATTAAATATTTTTTTCATTTTTATTATATTTGTATGTTATGTTCTTCACAAAAAAATAATAAAAACTGTATTTTATAAACTTGGTTTTGGTTTGGAATTTCAAAGTATCTTGTATTTAAGATAATCTAATTTAGCAAAAGATACAAATATCTTTTATCTTGTATCTTTTTGATATTTTGAAAAAGATATTAGTATGTATGTAAGATTCATTTTTATGAAGAATCTTATCTTTATATAGATTCTTTATTTCAGAGAACCTGCCAAATTCTGCCCAAATTAAATATAAATAAAAAAATATTTTTTTAAAAAATTTTAAATTTTTTAAATCATTTTTTAAATATAAACATAAATATTAACTCTGCTTGTAAAAAAAGCTCTATAACGCGTGTATTCTAAATCAAATTTTTGAAAGTAATCTAGCCATTAATTAATAATATTTTTTGAGTAATATATTATCAAAAATTAGATTATTTTTATGTTTTTTAAATTCATTTTTACTAATATTTTTTTTGAAAAAATTAAATATATTAAAAAAACGTAGTGGAATCCTTTTTTTCTATTAGCCTTTAACTAAAATTTAAGAACATCGAATAGAAATTTGATTTTCATTCATAATTCTGAATTTTTTTAAAATGGTTTTGAGGATATTGTCTGAGAAGAAATTACCAATAGATATTACTAGACTAAGTTATAGCAGTTATAAATTAAAAAAAGGAAATAAAAGAGTATGTATAGTTAATTTTATTTAAAAAAATAATAAACTTTATAAGTTCGCCATTATTTTTTTCAAAAAACTAAAAAGTATGGAAGGAAATGTTTTATAGCAAATGGAATTGCTCAGGCTTATCAAATAATTAATATTTAATAGAATAAGCAAGAATACTTCATGGCATCAGATCAGTCTTTTTACCAGATCATATACATTTAAACAAATCATGTTCCCTCATTCTATTACAGGATTTGGCCCACCTTTGTAACACCTTAATAGTTAAGGGGGGGGGGCACATCATACATTCTTTTCCACTTTTGGAGCCCGATTGATTGCCTTATAAAAACCAAACCAAGCCGTTAACTCAATTGCTATAGGTTGGGTTTTAAGAAAGATTATCTCTAAAATTATATTCAAACATATCAAAGACTCATTATGAGAATTGATAAGCATAAAAGGCGGATATGAAATAGCAGCTGCTCAGCGACTAATAATCTGACTAATCTACTTTTAGATAATGGATTTATCAACCCTGATATTAAAAAACGCATTTAATACATTAAATCGTATTTTTTTCAATTAATAACTTTTTATAATTATATTCAATTATTTTAATCTTAACTGGAAAACAAACAATTTTATCAACACGAGGGATACAACATAAAGATCCACTCAAATCACCTATATTCTATTAGTAATAAACAATATAATCCAGACAGGCGCGTACGCAGCGAGGGGAGAGGGCAGGGGGACAAACCTCCCCCCCCCCCAAAAAAAAGCTAAAAATGCAGATGCCGGATATATTTTTCAAATATATTATTGTTTATATTAATTTATATTTGTTAATATTTATTCTTATCTCATATTAAATATATATTTAATTACATTTATTGTTACATTCTTAAGTTAATTTATCAATTATTTCGATTTCATGTTTTCCGGCGTAATATTTACTTATTATTTTCAAATTTTTAGTGGCGTAATATTTATCTACCATTTTTAAATTTCTAGTCAAATAATAATTATTTCTGAAACTTCTTGTCCAACAGGGAGAAAGAAATTGCAACCTTGTCCAACGAGATAGAGTCTCCGCCATCAGGCAGTAACAGCTTTTATGGAGTTAGAAGAGCCAATTATTTGCTATTACTGAAATATCACAATGGCCTGAAAGAAATATTTCCTCAGAAGCAAGAAAATTATTGGATTCAATGCTTATTCCAATTTTTCTTTCTCGTTAGTATGTATTATTTAATTATACAACTATTTTATGTATTACTTTTCAAAAACATGACATTGACTTGATTAAGAAGATGAGAATAGCGGAGAGCATTTTATTAGAACTCAAGGAAATTAGGGCTAATGTAAGAATTTCATATTTTATATGTTATTGTTGATTCAAAAGCAGAGCTATACGTGTTTAATATTTGTCTCCCTCGACTTCAGTGGCGTAGCTACGGGGGTGGTTTTCGGGTTTATACCCCTCCCAGAACAAAATTTTTTTTTAGATTATACGTTCAAAAGAATTAAAGGTGACTTAATATCAAATAAATACCATTAATATTTATATTTCTCTGGTCTTGATGTTTGTGGAAAGATATGATATTACTATTGAAATTATTCTGGATAGTATTATTATAAAGTCATTGAGAATAACCTACTAAATTATAATAACATATTATTGATGCATTTAAAATATATATTTATTATATATTTTCGAAGATATAGTTATGATTTATAAGATAAACCCGGCCGGGCTAAAGGGCCGAAGGCCCGTTAAAAGGGGTCTGGGGGGCGAAGTCCTGCAAGCTTTTATATGTATGGACCCCCTCTAAGGAAAATTCCTAGCTACGCCACTGCTCGACTTGTAGCAAGGTAAGCTCATCGTTAAAACATTAATATAGGAATAGTAGACGAGTATATCTGGGATACAGATACATTTATAACCCAAATAAATATGGTTTTTAATTCATCATGCAGCACTTACCAATCTGCAAATATTACTTCCACAAAAGCCTTCCCAACCTTTTTCAGATTGTGATAGAAAAA